ACGCTAGATCGAATGTGTACTATCCGAATCGCTGAGGCGGACGCTTGGAACGCTGGTGGTCGTCATTGGTCGCTGGTGGACGCTGCCGCAAAGTATGAACGCAGCCTAAGCGACAGCACTGAAGACATTTCAGATGAAATGCGAGAGGTGCGCCCCGAGTTTGAAAGGATGGAACAAGGCTTCATTGTGACTAGAGCTTCTCCACCAGCGGGAATTTGCCCAGTAAGAGACTTTAAATATATTCAAATACAAATAGAAGAAAGGAAGCTAGCGGCTACGGTAATGTCAAAGCACAACGGTTCTTTCGTAAGGCAGCGTTCAGATTCGCGACGGCAGCGCTTCGGTCGCGCGTTTAACGCGATCGATGCGCATGCTTTCAACTGCATTGATCGCGTCGAACGCGCGACCGAAACACTGCCGTCGCTTAGTCGAACGCTGCCTACAAGAACATGAGTCTATGGAGAATATGAGCAGGCAGCACCAGACATAAGCCAGTTCTCGTCTTTAAGGGATTTTCTGTGAGAGACACAGAGGGATATAATGAGAAGGATCCATAGTTTCTGCTGGCAAAGCTGAGGGGAATGAGCTTATAATCCACTGTATTTTCCTAGCCACTGCCTTTCAGTCGAGGGATAGAAGCGTAGAGGATAATCTTGCTTTTTTTCAGGGCGACAGCGGTGGACCACTTTTCACATATAACAGGAAGGAAAAGATCCTACAGTTAGGAATCACATCTAATGGCGATTCGTGCCCAAGTAAGGACTTTAAGTGATCTAATGACCGCTACTATTCTATAGCAAATAGCGCATCCAGAGGATGCACCAGAAACCCCCTTCTTTAGCCACTCTTCCCTCTGCATAACGCGAGAAACTTTGCAACTTGCGCAGTGTGCAGTAAGAATGCACATAGAGTAACTAGCTTGATTCCAGGTTATATTGAAGCGGCAAAACCCGAAACAAGATACCTCGATAGATTCACTGACGTCCGTGAGCACCTGGACTGGATATGCGAGAAGACAGGTAAAGTGATCACCAATTCAGTAGAGAAATCTAGCTTCCCCTTTACTTCTAACAGTTTTTCAGGAGTTTGCCCACAAGAGTAGGCTAGAAAACGACGAATTTGAGCAACTTCCTGGCAATGATATTGGCTCGAGTACTCCAATGTTACTTGCTTTGAATAAACGCATAATTATGGGGGTTTTCACAAAATAGTTGAAAAGCTGTTTCTATAAA